CGACTACCAGCTCCCCCTTCGTTCTCTTGTTTCCGTGCGCCTCATCCCTCTGTCGCACAGCCCCTCTCCTAGTTTCGCAAACTCTCTTTCCCTCTTCCCCGGAGTCCTTGTCTCCCCTTTCTTCTTTTATCTTCACTTTCCCTTTCTCCCCCGTATAGCGTTTCTCTACCTTTCTCTCTTCATAGAGGCTTCTCTCAGCTTCTCGCTGAGCTCCCTCTCGATTATCCTTTATCTCGCAACTCTAGCCGCTTTTCTCTCTATTTCTCCCCCCATTTTGTTCTTTTCTTTACACCGCATTTCTTTTGCATCCATTTCTCTCTCTCTCTTTCTCTCCCTCCCCCTTCCCTCCCTTCCCCTCCCTCATTACCCTTCTTCTCTTCCACGCGTCTTCCATTTGTTCCGCTGTTCTTTTTCACCGAAAAAAGATTTTCTCGACCTTTCCTCTTTTGTCTCTTTCTGCTCATTCCCAGCCTATTCCACAATCGCATCTTCTTCACTCGTTTCCTTCTCTCTTCCAATTTCCTGTTATAATCTCTCCCTCCCCCTTGTTTTTACCAATCTCTCTTTTCTTTCTTTAACTGATACAACTGCAGGGGAATCGAGAATCGTTTCGTGATGCATAATCGTCGTTTTCTGTAATCTCCTCCCAGCCACCCGACGCCAAGTCAGAAAAAAGCTATCGTGTGTCCGAATACAACGGCGCACAGGCGATTCTAAATGAATCGCATTTTCATTCTAGAAGGAAGAATTATTTACCTTTCGAATGTGTAACGTAAGACGTGTTGTAAGCTTGAATGGTGCGCAATTAGAATTATAATAATATATCATCGTAATTGTATCTACTGTAACGTATAAGTAATGCAGACATATGTGTATGCATAACGATGCAGATAAATAAGTTAGATTTGAGCAAAAAGTATCTAACCCAGGGTTATAGAGCAGGAAATTAGAATATATACCTACATATGCAATAAGAAAACTGCATGATACAAAGAACACACAAATTATATCCTATAGAATTAAGGTTGCCAATTGTATTTAAATATTCAACTCCACGGCACCCCCTCTACTTTCTGCTGCTTTACATTTTTTAATATATTTATTTAAAATATCAATCGCATTTCTCAAACATTTAAACGTAATTTTAATAAATGAGAACTACTGGTCCCGTTCTTTTCATCGCAGGTAGAGGTCGAATTAAGAAAGATGGCGGTAGTTTTAATGGAGAGGCGCCGATGGTTGAGAAGTGACGTAATACTAAAGTCGGTACATTTATTTCAACGTAAATTTCGCTTCAAAATGAAATATAAATAGGAAAACTTTAACTTTCGCTTTTTATTTGAACACTTTTATATAATTGCATTAAACACTGCCATGTTATAACAACACATGAACGATCAATATGATGATACGCGTATGATACTTAAGTGACGCAAATATAAAAATAAAAATATCTTCCGTACTCCTTAAAAAGTTATTAATACAAAAATGAGTAAGATTTTCTCGTGTTAAATAATTTAAATTATAAAGCAAGAAGAAAAGAAATATTTATTCAATTTAATATATATAAAAAATAAGAGCAAAACCCAATTCAATGATTAATTCAGCTGCACTAATTTAACAGTCGATGACAATGGCTGCGTTCGGGGTGATCCCGATTGACCACGGCTCGATTGGACACCACCAATCACAACGACCGGTGCTTAGGAGCTTTGTAGTCTCAAGCGCTGTGAGTGGCTCGTGTCCAATTGAGCCGTGTCCAACTGGGTGCCACCCGCTGCGTTCAGCAAAAAAAGCAGCTTTGCAACTTTTATAAAATTCTTTAATATGATTGGTCTTGCTCTTAATTCCTCACTTGATCTAAATGTATAAATCAATCATATTCAAAAATTTTACAACAATTGGAAAGCTGCTCTTTCTGCTGAACATAGTCATTGTTATACTAATTTCATCGTTTCATTTTTACATTAAAACATAGTTTAGCACAGATAAACGTAAATTTGTAAATGTACAAGGTGCAATGTGCCAATATTTGTGTTCATCGAAGTAAAGAAAGTACCTATGAGGATACCATGAGTATCTATGAGTACCTATGAGTTCCAACATCTAAGATCCTCTACGCGAGTCTTCGTGTGCAAACGGTAGAGATCTCCGTGCACGCGTGAGGTCGCTGTCACTATATTTGCGCGTACGCCACGCCTGCGCCGCGCCGCGCCGCATCGTCCGAATAAGCCTTCGCGTATATTTCGCCAAAACGGTGTCTTCTACTCTTCTCTGTTTTTCCTCTCGAGGAGAATCTGGTGAATCTTAAGAATCTCGCGACACAAGTATATCACAATCAAAATCGATCGCATCGATGATCAATAATACGACCAATGATCGGTTTACGCTCTTTTAACAAATAAATAACTACCCTTCTTTGCTTGCATCACGAATGTAATTGAAGAACGAATGACGTATTTATTAAGCTGGCACAGCCATTTTAAGAGCAAGCAAATGAAACACATTATGTACGCCAATTTAATTCCTTGTTGTTAATACGCTTTTTTTTTATTCCAACTCTTCCGTTAAAATCAAAAATTGTATCAGTTAGCATGTAGAGATATACAAAAAGAAATAGGAAAATAAAAAGCATGATATTTCTATTTTTTAAATATTATTTTATGCTGCTAATTGGTCACTCTATTCTCAAATTTACTGCTCCATCTGAAGGGGATCCTAAAGCAAAGCTCGAATTCCGACGAAATCATTAAGCCATGTATACACCTAGCGAACGAACACCGAACGCGAATGTTCGGATATTAGTGTTTATATTTGTGAGCAGTTTATTCTTTTTCTTGATTGTACGGAATACTGGTATTCGACCAGATTCGATGTTCGTTCCATGTAGCAATTAAACTTGTGCGACTCTTATGTAACAAACAATACAAATTTTTACGTTTGCTGTTCGTTCGGTGTTCGTTCGCTAGGTGTATACACAGCTTGAAGGCCCGTCTACAATACACGGAGTAAGAAGTAAGAGTAAGAAATTGACTAATTACAGTCGATTATTCTTCTCACATTCGACTGTGATTGGTCAATTTCTTACTCTTACTTTTTACTCCGTGTATTGTAGACGACGCCTTAAGCCGTGTATTCACCTAGCGAACGAACAGCAAACGTAAAAATTTGTATTGTTGTTTGTTACATAAAAGTCGCACAAGTTTAATTGCTACATGGAACGAACATCGAATCTGGTCGAATATCAGTATTCCGTACAGTC